TGTGATACTGTAATATAGGTATAATATCCTACTTAATATTTGTTTATTTAAGATGTATAACATTAATGATGTTAATATCCTGAAAAAGCAGGCCATTTGCCCACTTTCATTTCTGAGTCAGGTTCTCTTTTTCTGATGATGATGGTTGATTTCTAATTTTTCAGTTCATTTTAATCTCCTCCTGGGAGTCATGCCCTGGACTGTTGTCTTGTTTACATAATTTGTTCACAGGCATTTATGAAACACTTACTCTGATCTTGACACTGTGCTACATTTGGCTCTGTGGGCAGAGCTAAGTCATGGATTCTTCTAAAGGGAGCCCTCCCTGGGAGGGGAATAGGTCAAGAACATAGACTAGACATGATTGATGTCCTGGAGAGCAAATTCAGGGAGGAAAGTTCAGAGAAGAGAGATTTTTCTAACTTCTTTGAGAAGTAGGGAGGATTTGTGTTAGGGTGACGGTGATCTTATGATTGTCAGTTGGGGGGCAGAAACATTTACTTAAGGGGCATTTGCAAATGGGCTAGTGTGTTTTTTTGTTGTCTCAATGCTGAAGGCCAGGCTGCCCTTGGCATTTAGTGGTCAGGACCAGAGATGTGATATCGCCTGTTATGCCTGAGATTGGAAATGGTCTTCAAAGGGCAATTTTGCACCTGCCTAGAACTACCAGTAGGCCTTGAAGGATGCGTAGAATCTCTATATTTGATCTTGGGTGGGAGAGGTCATAGGACAAGCAAAGGGGACAAGTCAACTTAGAGTACAGTCGGAATAGAGCAAGAATGTGTGCTGAGTGGAAGGGGGAGGGAGTTTATGGCAGGCCTAGAAGGTTGAGTCCCAGTTATTGAGAAACTTGACATGTTAGATAAAGCACTTGAGCTTATTCTGTTGCCATTGGGAAATCACTTAAGATGTCAGTGCAGGGTCCTTGAGAGCAGAAAACTAGCCTCACCTTATCACTGGACATCAAGTAGGCATATGTGATGCTTTTTGAATGAATGACTATTGCAGATAAGTTGTCAGTTACAAGAGTTAGGTACCTGAATTTTGCCAGATCAAGGGCCCTATGGTTCTGGGAGAGCCTGGCATTAGCACTCCAGGAGACAACACAGAGGGGGGATGGCCTCCGCCACACAGATCCTGTCTCTACCGTCCAAACAAGAGCATTGTGGTCAGGCTGCAGGAGTAGGTGCCTACACTAAAGAGAGAAGCTAATGTCTTCAGAAATCTTGATGCAAAGAGGGATTCTCCCATTGACCTCCCTTTTGGAGCCCAAAGATCAGGAGACATTCAGGCGCACACTGCACAGTCCGCATTAATGCTCTGGCATCTTTAGCTTATTAAAAATTGCCAATCAAACAGCAATTTGCTGACATGCGCTGTGACCATGACTGCAGTTGTTCGTGGGGAGTGGCTTGCTCGTCTGCGTGGTGAAACCTGCCCCACGGCGTGCCCAGTGCTGTCCTGTTGAGTCACGGTGACTTTGACATCGGGTCAGTCCTTTCTCCTTTCCTGGAGGCTTTGGAGGTTGGGAGGGAAAGCTGCGGGAGGGAATTGGCCCAACACAAATATGAGGTATCACCTTGTTAGTTCCTCTCTAAGGTTTCATTTCAGGAATCTTTCAGCGGGAGGGGGATGGGGTGTATTTGTGTAGGGCCCTCATATTTTGTATCAGAGAAAGAAAGCAAGTTGTCCAGGGTTGTGCAGTGAGCTAGCCACCCCCAGAGGCACTTTTTGCAGGAGGCTTCCATTGCACTCTGTGCTGGGGGAGTGAGTGTGGAGGCACGGGCTCTGGAGCTACTGGCTAAGCTACTTAACGATATTGTGGACATTCAGCTTCTTTATTTGTCAACTGGGCATCGTGGTCATATCTGACATCACACGTTTAAAAAAGCCTTGTTAACCACAAAAAATGCGAACAGCTTTGTTGTCTACAAAAAAGTACAGAATATTCCTTCTTATGTTGTGGATATTTATGGACCATATTTTGAGAAAGGATACTGACCACACCCCCGTCACAGAACACTCTCAAGGGGTTCATTCAGTTCCCCATGGCACAGGAAAGCACTTTTGCACTCAGATTTAGGGGCACGCTTTAGGGAAGCGTGGTTGCATCTTGGTGTTGCGAGGGGTTGGGAGTACACTCTTGCCTGGAGCTAGGGATTTGCGTGGCGATGTAATGGAGCTCTGATTGGAGAGATGGGTTGGGGCCCATCCTGGAGGCTCTGAATGAATGACCGATGGAAGCTGGGCACCAGTGTGTGTACAATTTAGTGCAGTGGTGAGGGATCAGCTGAGAAAGCCATGATGAAGTGGGGATTAGCCTGGCAGCACCTTTAGGATGTGTGAAGAACCTGTGGTACAGCTCAGGCAAGAGACAGGGGGTCTAGCAATTGGAGCAGGGGTCTCATGACAGAATAAGTTCCAGGTTTTAGACCCATTCTTTGTTGTTTGCAGTGGTTCAGCATTTTACTTAGGGCTTCAATAAAAATAATATCCTGTGATGTTTTTAAGTTGGCTCTTCACATTTTGATGGGGAGGTAGAAGGTGGGATTGTGCATATTTACAGGTGAGGAAAAGGAGGATCAGAGAGCAGATGGGGCTTCTCAGTGGGCAAGCAGGAGCTGGGATGGCAGATCTAACACTCTCTTTTGTGAGAATGTTCTGGATCTGTGGTTTTCTCAAAGGTACTTTTTCCACCCTTGATTATCTTGGTTGAGATCCTTGGAAGCTTGACATACCCATGATTTTCAAAGGTACCAGAAACAAGCTGTGAAATTTTCAAAGATGAGCTGTAGGGAATTTGGGACACAAACTGTGTTTATCTCTCTAGCTCTTATTGCTGTCATATTGTTTATTCAGGTTGAAAATGTTCCTGAGAGCAAAGGAGGGAAGAAATGGGCCCATTACTGATGGAGCATCAGGACACAGTGCTCTCTGCTTTTCCATCCATGGACGTAAATACATTTGTAGTGGAGGAGTTCATAACACAGTCTTTATTGTAAGATTTGGCTAAGCAATTTAGGCACATTCAATTATTTAATTCTCATGAAAACCTTATTAGCTAGATAACAATATTATTTCCCATGCTGCAAGTGAGAAGACTGAGGCTTGGAGAAATTAAATAACTTGTTTGTGAGAACATAGGTCCTAAATACATTGTCATTCAGCTTTCTAACTTGACAACTCTTTTTTCCCAGCTACACCATAGATTGCTTGTCTCATTGGTAAGAATGCCAAAGCTGCTTATTAAGGAGGGATACTAGACCTTGGGGGTTATTAGAATCAGAGGTGGAATGTTGGAGGAAGAGCTTAAAGGCTGCTTGTTTTCAAACTGTGCTCCCCTGGCCTTGAGGCTGGGGTGGGGAGGCTGGGTCAGGGAGGTGAGTTAGTGGTGAGAAGAGCAGGGGAGCAGGGGGGTGCTGGGGCAGCTCTGCTCTTCTCTATTTTGCAAGCTGAGCATCTGCAAAATATTTTGTTTAAAGGAAAAGCTCTGTTGCTAGGGGGGAAAAGTTTGAAACCACAGTGCTCACCCAGTCCTTTCACCACAGCTGAGAGTTGAAGTAGTGTCTTAGCACATGTCACAATTAAGAGGGGTGCCAGGGGCTTCGCCTTTTTGTCAAGGAAATGTGCATACTGTCTACCTCCCTCTGAGGCCTTTGATCCCCTGGCTGCAGGTCCAGGCTCATGCAGCTTGCAAGTAGCTGCAAAGCCTGCAGGCTACCCCATGCACAAGATCCTTGATCTGTATTTTTGACTTGGTTCTATCTCCTTTTTGGACCTTGGGAACCTTGCTGAGATTAGTTGTGTTTCTGTGCAGAAGAGTGTGGAAATTACAGCCAGTATTGTGTTACTTCCCTGGCCCAACCTTTGCAGACTTTGTCTAACTGTAATTAACAGGTAATTATTGAGTGTCCACAGTGTTGACAGCACAGGCAAGGTCCCTGACTCCCAAGGCCTAGTGGGGAGACAGAAGCAAATGAGGAATTTTGTCAACTATTTTTGGAAATAGTTATGTTTGGTTCCTATGATCATTATGTGTGATAGTTATGTGAGGATGATTTTATCTCATCTGGGCAATTTGAAGGAAGAGAGATGGAAATGTGAGTACAGTGGAGAATTGTAAGGGGGTTGTGTTTGCACTATGAGTTACTTAAACCTAGTCACCCACTCATTGTCTATGGGTCTTGTACCCATTACATTTTCTTTAAGTCTTTGTACATTTCCTCAGCTATAACATGGCAGTGAGACGCCTTACTCCTAGGGATATTGATAGGATAATGCACACACCCTGCTTAGTGCAATGTCCAGCACAGAGCAAGCAGTCATTAAATTGTTGTTATTAATTGACACGGTGGAGCTGTTTTTTTTTTTTTTTTTTTTTTTCAAAAACCAATCAAAGGTGTGATCTGGCCTTGCTTCTCAAAAAACCACTCTGCTTTTAGAAAATGAATACAATCCTGTGAGCCTACAACAATTACTTGGCTTTAGTTTACCTTGGATTTCCTCTGTTTCTCTCTACCTCTCTGCCCTTCTCTCCCATTATCAGCCTAGACATCTGGCAGCTTGTGTTCACTGGACATAGCTCTCTATTGCCTGGGCTTAAATCTTTCCTTTGACCAGGAATGTCATTTGCTCCCTCACCTTCCTTGCCCTACTCTCTTTTAACACCAAACCCAAAAGTCTTTTCCTCCCCTCAAGCGAACCCTACTGATGTCTGCCTTTGGAAGTTAACACATCTTGACCTTCACTATAGTCAGTCTCTCTCTTCTCCTAAGGTTGTCTGCATCTTGTTGCCTTTGCTATGGCATTTCTGGGAATTAGGAAAATGCTCATATTTAGTGCTCCCACATCTATGTAATGGATTAATTTAGAACCTTTCTCCATTGTTTAAGAAAGGAAAACAATCATCCTTGAGCTGTGCGCTCATCAGCCTTGGGAATGGCTTTTTGGGGAAGATCTGGCCTCTCCATAAATGACATTGATGATTTGGATCTTTGCAGCTATTGAAGAGGAAACTGACTAGTGTGCTGGGGGAAGCCTGAAGGAAGACAGAGCAGTGCCTGCACTTTCAGAGCCTCTTGGGTGCCCTCGTACTCCCCGGAGACCTGCAGCAGGACCCCTGGTATGTGAATGATTTTTCATCTGCTCCCAGAATTCCAGGTTCATCCTTTGTGAGCTGGGCTGGGAAGTTTATTGGGCTGGAGTTTCTTTTTTTTGGTACTGCAACTTGAAATATTCTGTATCCTTGATTAATTCATGTTTGGGCGCTTCCTTAGTGCTTAGTGTCTGGTAAAAAGCTCCTTACTGTACATTTATTTCCCCATGGGCTTATTGAAGAGAGACTGGAGCCTGTGCTTCTAACAACTTCTCCAAGGAAAACATTGCAGGCCATGTTTCCGGAACGGAGAATCTCAGAGGGTCTTGCAAATGTCCCTCTCTATTACCTCTTCTTGGCCTGATATTTGCTTACAACTGAAAAGGCAGAGAGTTTGTCTTGAGAAGTCCTATAGACAGATGTGACTTGGGGGTTGAAAACCTGACAAGTGCTGCTGAACTTCAAGTGTAAGAATGAGTAGCATATAGACATAACCCTGTGCAGCCTCGACACATTTTCCTTTAATTCCCAGAGCCTTAATGTTCCTTTGTCTATGGAATGACCTCACTGCTTTTTGTGTTTGTAATGGAATGCAGAGTCATTTACAAGTAATCACACAATAATCCCTTACACTTTTGTAACGCCTTCTCATTTTCCAGAGGGCTTTCGCTCGCATTATATTATTTGATCCTCCAAGCTACTCTAGAGGTCGGCAGAGGGGCCGATTTAATCTCTAATTTTCAGGTGTAGAAACTGAGGTTTAGGAAAGTTAAACTGTTGGCCAGAAGTCAAACAGTTAGTATGTAGCAGACTTGAATCTAGAATCTCAAGTAGTCTATCTCCTAACTGACTCCTTTGTGCTACTTGCTGTTGGTGTGACCTTGGAAATAAACTAAGCCTCTCTGTGCCTGATATTTGCTTATAGCTGAAAAGGCAGAGAGTTTGTCTTTGCCTAAATAGGGTGTGCTACTCTAGGGGTAGTTGTCAGTAGGTATTAAATGGGTCTGTCTGGGAAAGCATTTAGTAAATAGTAAAGCAGACTACGAATAAGAAGCATGGTCACTACATGTACCTTGAATCCAAATATTGCCATCAGAATTGTGGCAAAGCATTTTTCCTCTTTCCCTAAAGACACAGAGGTCCAGTATGGTACTGCAGTTGTCGGGGATCATGATTTCCCCGCTGTGTTATCAGCAAATCGGCCCTTTGGTCCTGTCTGCAAGCCACTTAGTTATTCGGAGGGCACTTGTGTTGCAAGCTTCTTTTCCTACCAAACTCTCTCTTATTATTTCTTGGAACTGCCTTGTATCCTGGAGACAGTTTTAGATCTGACAGAATGGAGAGCAGGAGCAGGGAGCTGGGAATGGAATTTGCATCCCTGAACTTTATGCTCAAAGCCTGGGATGTGGCATGGGTGACAAGGCAGAGGTGGCGAAGAACTGGTACCTATCTTCTCTCCTTTCTCAATGGCTGGGATTTAACAAGGTGCATTTTGTGAATCAATCAGGCCACTAGTACATATGCAAAATGGGTTGCTTAGCAAGAACACTTATTGGAGAAACCCTAAAAGAGTGGATTTTGAATTGGCAACAAATACATTAGAAGTTAATAGTGTGAGATGGTCAGGAAGCAGCCAATGTGATCGAGGGATAAGACCTTGAATAGATTTGTTTCTATATCCACAGTCACCTACAGAATTCCAAACCACTGAGACAAACAAGGGTTGTCTGTGTGGTTCTAAGAGGCAGAACGAGGAGTAGGATGTTGAAGACCAGAGAGCTGGATTTTGTTTCCATATAAGGAAGAACTTTCTGTTGGAAAGATGGAATTTGCGGCTGCGGGAGATAGTGATTGCCACCTCACTGGAGACCTCATGGGTACCATGGGGCACTTGAAAACAGGGGGCATTGTGCTCATTTCTTCTCTTGAGATCCCATTTAGTGGTATTTGTCACTGATCTAGAGGAAGAGACACAGACATATATAAAGTAATTGTGCATGTGGAAACTGATCTCCACTGCTATTTACAAATGGAGAGTAGATGTGTAGACTCTCTCATTCTGACTTGCACACCCATCCCTGTAGCTCCCTACTAGATCTCTGCGGTTCAGAGTTCCCAGGCCATCCCTGGGCAGCCACTCTTCATGGAATATCTCTTTCTGCTGCTGAAATTCTCATGGTGGGGTATTTGAAGGAACTCGGAGATCCCGACAGGATGACAGTCTTCTATAGAACAACTGAGGCTGATGGCTAGTCTAGTCTGCTTGGGTACAAAAGAAGACCGTGCTGTGGCCCTCTTCTGGGTGACCTTGCACCTCCTAAGAATACTGAAGTGGCAAGAATTCCATACTGAGTTCTGTTTCTGTCATATGGTGGATGGTTCTCTGATCCTATATTCTCACCTAGTTTAATAGTCATTTTGATCTGTGTTCGTATATTAAACTTGCAATGAAGAAGAGCTGTTTATTCTTCTTCAGGTACTTGTAACAGGCATGCAAACATATAAAACAAGTGAAGTAAATGTGTCATGACTATTTGGATAGGCCAAGTAGAAACTGTTTAGAGCACACAGTTGGATAACTGAATATCACCCGATTTGTGTGTGAGAGAATATAAGTTACAAGAGAAATGATTTGTCCAAAATTTTAAGGAGTAGCTAATCCTGCTTAGGACCTTCTCCCCTCCTTGCTCCCTGACCAGTGCTTATTGTTTGAGGATTCCCTGGGGCAGGGCAAGCAGTCTCATGGTACAAGTCCCAAAGCTAGGGCTGAAAATGATTCATTTCACCTACAAATCTGACTCCAGAATAGAACAAGATCACGCTATGAAAATGAACCACTAGGAGGCCAAGACACATGTTTCCCTTTCTGATTATACCTTCTTCCTTCCCTGCTCTTTCCCCAGCAGCCATCTCTCCCTCCTTTCTCCCTCTCTAGTTCCATTTGGAGTCAGTTTAGACCACATTCATTTCCAGTTGACTCAGTTGATCCAAGTTAGTCATGGAACATCTTTTGGTCTTTTAGGATCAGAATTAATCTTAAATAAATTAAATAAATAAAATTGGGCATTCCACCCTCTTACCCAACCCCATACCGGTGTTCTCTTGAAAGAAAGGACTCATTCATCTATGGAATGAAAATTAAGAATCCAAAATAAAGGTTATTGGAAGTCCTTGCGCCTGGGTGTCTGTCCTATGAAGAACTCACACAAAGCTTATTTTCTGGGAAGATTCTCAGCCCAAGGGAATCGGATTGGGGCTGAGGGTGGGGGTTGTTTTAGGACTCATCTGCCACCAGCAGAACCACTCACTGCTTTCTTGGCAATCAGTGTCTGTGCATCCCCCACAGGCCTCCCCCGAAACGATATATTGCCTTCCTAAATGTGCTTGCAATCTAGATGGCCGCACTCTAATGGTGACCTGAAAGACTTTCAGATGGCCACTTCCTTCTTTGGGTGGTGAGCCTTTTTCCTGTAACAGGACAGTGTGTGGAACACTTGAGACACAACTTCTTTTGGGGGTTAATCATTTACTCTGAGTAAAGAATTCTGTCTTAAGTGGGGTATGTTCTTCAAGTGCCAGAGCAGAGAAGGGCGATTTTTCTGACATCCTCCAGCCTGCTTCTCCATATTTGGAAATGTTTACCCACCACAGTGATCTATTAGAAGAGGAGGAGGTGACTCAGGGTTTAGGAGAAGCAGGATTTGAATTCTTGTTTCCAGAAACAAAGTCGCCCCCTCCCCCACCCCTCCCCCTCATTCCTTGGCCCCTTGTTCTGGAAGGGGAGGAGAGACTAGCTCAGTGCTGTTCCCCAAGGGCCTCAGGACCACCTCGTGGCAGTGGGGCTGGGGTGTGAGAGGGAGTGCGGGCCAGTGGAGGGCGGCTGTCTGTCGGTGGGCCTGACGTCGGTGAGTACATCATTATTGTCGCAGCGAATGGCATTTCTGCTCACAGCCCCCAGGCTTCCAGCCCCAAGGCTGGCTGGCTGGCAGAGTGATGGGACTCATGGCAGGGAGCAGTGACCACTTTAATTTGAGCTCTGGACAGCTGCTTTCTTAAGGGAGGTAGACTCTGCGGAAGGAAAAGTTTTATTGGAATGATAAAAAATGAAACAGGTGTTTCCTCCCACCTGAGGCCTAGCTTGAGTTGGGCACAAAGTCAGTGGGGCATTGTTATCTCTCTGATTGTTAGGGCAAAAGCCACCAGTGAATGATATTTGTGGAGACTTGTGGTGGGATGCTTTGGGTTTAAAAGCAGAATTATGACTGGATTTAAGAGTATGCAAAATATTGCTGTATTTGCACAGCACCTGCAGTCTGGGGTAAATTCCTGGGTACGGGACATTGTGTAGATTTGATAGACTGTCCTGGTTGGAAGGAATCTTAGAGGTTGTCCGGTCCAGCTGTCTCATTTTACAGCTTGATATTGGCAGTAGAAGCCCAGGGAAGGGAGGTAACTTGCTTTCAGTTTCGTGGCTAATTAGAAGGGATTAGACCCCAGATCTTTTTATTTTCACTGCTGCTAGACTTAGAGCCGCCTCTTCAGGACAAGGCAAAGAAGATGCCCATTTTGCAGAGGAAGAAATTGGGCTGCAGAGATGCCAGAGTAGCTCACTCTAGCTGATCTAACTGGGAGAACTAGCATCAAGTTCTCCCAGTTCACGTCTGTCATGTCATATGGGCTCAGATATCTGAAGTTACTGTTTCTTAAAATTTAATTTTTCCCTTCTTTGGTTTCTACTTGCTGTTTTTCTACTTTCTGTCACGTGAATATTGTTTGAGTGTGAGCTGTTCCCTTCCTATCTGCTTTTTTGCCTAAATCTTTTCTTTTCCTGAAAGGGATCATACCTGGTCCAGAGGCAGGACTGACTAGTAGACCTTTTATTTCAGTTTTATCCTTGGCAGTGAAAATTATGCATAGGGCCTAGAAAACAACTGAGTAGGAATTTGTTTCAACCTCCACTGCTATTCTTGAAGCTGCAAGTATTCTGGGGTATTATTTCCTCCTTGTTAAAGGGGAGCCCTGATTCT